AGTTTGGCCATCTTGCTGAAAACCCAAATGACCCAACTGAGCCTGCACACTACACCTGCCTCTGCTGACCACCCAGCAGGTTGGAGTGAGGTGCCCTCCCAGAATTTTGTTGAAATCATCATCCTAAAGACTTTGGAAGGAGCAGCCTTTGCCCACAGAGGGTCTGGGCTTTGGTAGGTCAAGTAGCAGAGTGTAGGGCCCGGCTGTATGCTAACCCTGTGATTAGCAGGCCCAGCCAACCAGAGGCCCCTGTGGTCACCTGTCAGCTATCTTTGTACTCAGTGCATTGCTTGGTGGATTCGCAGACTCCCAGAGGACAAAATTCGGGTCAGGAGTGTTTCCCCATAAAGAAAGGTGTATAGCACACTTCCTCTCAGCCACAGCTTTGCTTTTATCCCAATATCTTGCAAAACTCTTACATACACTTTTGAAGGAAACACTTAAGCTTTGAATTGGAAGCTGGTAAGAAAGGAAAAACTAGTCGATTTCTTTACCAAAAAACTTAAGTTGCCTTTGGGTTTTCTTTTTTCTCATCTTTCATTCAAATTTGGAATTCTGTACGACTCAGATGTAAGAAGTCACGAGACATGGAAGCACAGAAGTCACGTCTGTGCTTCAGTTTCCCATCTGTAAATGGGAACCTAAATCAGACAAATCCACATGAAGCCCTCAGCCCCCATCTCTCATCACTCTGTGTTCAGGAATTACTGTTCACCCAAGTGCACAGTTCTTACCAATTACGTGCAGATGTCTAGGTCACACAGGTAGTCCTGGGTCTGAGAGCCAGAGGTACTTGACACTGAAACAGCATTTCAGTTTGATCACCTTAAGTGCCTTTGACTTAGAGCGACCCTGAGTCAGAACCTTGTGGTTAGTAGTCCAGTTCTTATCCTACAGCACAACATCAGGACTCCTTTAATCACCTATTAGAAATGGAAATAAGGAAGATGTTTCCTAATTTTTATTTTGTTTCCCTGGTTTTCTGAAATTTAAAGTATGTGCTCATTGGACTATGTAAGCTACTCATAAATGGGCAATTTAGAACAATGACAAGAGATTTTGCCTTAAACTGATTTTCTTGGTTCTTTTAACCTGTCAGAGGTCAATTACAGCTACCTTCCCCTTGGATATGGTAAAACCCAGAAAGGCATCATCTCACCCATAGAGGCTGACTCCAGGAGTACCTAACAGGCTATAGGCGCAGCTGTCTTCTGTTCAGGGTTTTTATAGGCACTGGAATCTCCCAAAAAGATGCATGTGCAGGTTGAAGAGGGAGCCCTAAGGCTCTGTAGACCAGATTGAATGCTTCCCATCGAGAGGAACCCGTTTACAGTTTGCAGCACTTATTCATCCGGCCCCTGGACCTTCTGAGTGACCCCTCAGCCCTCCCTGAGCAGGCTCCTTAAGATGTTCTTATTCATCCGGCCCCTGGACCTTCTGAGTGACCCCTCAGCCCTCCCTGAGCAGGCTACTTAAGATGTTCTTATTCATCCGGCCCCTGGACCTTCTGAGTGACCCCTCAGCCCTCCCTGAGCAGGCTACTTAAGATGTTCTTATTCAGGGTGTTTTCCCTTCCTGCTGCTGCCCACCACCCCATAGGGTGAGCCAGCCCCTCCAGCGTTTAAATGAAAAACATTGTGCAGAGTCCGGTGATGCAAGCTGAGATGCAGGCTTTTAAAAGTCATTATTTTAATTACCATTAAAATAATTGGCACTCTGGATATCAGAATGAGAGGCGATCAGAGGCTCAAAGCACCCCCTCCCCACCTCAAGGTAGAGCAGCCTTCAGTGTCTGTATAATTAAAAGCTCTGTCTTTCATGAGCACAAGAGGCCAGGGGGTGGGCAGGCTGCAGCCCTGCTGCATGTTAATGTATTTATTACGGTCAATAAGCCCTTACTTGGAGTTTTGTCCTCTGGTTTGGGCGGCATCCACACAACTGGTAGTGGATAGCACACACAGCTTTGCTCAGCCACATGGAGGGCAGTTGAGAGTTCAGAGTTACTTAGAGGTATCCACTCTCAGGGACCTTTGGGACTGGACAGGCTTCATTTGGTCCTGGCTATCCTTATATTAAGGAGCTCTGGTAGCGTAGTGGTTACTTATCGGGCTGCTAACCTCTAGGTCGGCAGTTCGAAACTATCAGCAGTTCCACGTGAGAAAGATGAGGCTTTCTGCTCCCATAAAGATTTACAGCCTCGGAAACCCTGTGCAGGGTCACTATGAGTCGGAATCGACTCCATGGTAGTTAACAACAACAATCCTTATATTTAAGCAGCTGTGCAATGCTATACCTTCTAGCTGTTACAGGGTTAAATGGGTTAATGCACAGAAAAATGCTAATAAGGCGGCATTCCTAAGCCTCACACTGAACCATTCTCTCCCTTGCAGCTCCGAGAACTGGTCAGCATGTGCATCTACCCTGACCCTAACCAAAGACCTGACATTGGATACGTGCACCAGGTTGCCAAACAGATGCACGTGTGGACTTCAAGCACCTGAACTTGGATGCACCACTTTGCCTTACTTGAGTCTTCCTTTCCCTGAAGTGGTCACCTGGTAGCCTAGAACCAGACAAGAGAGTTCAGCAGGTTCCCCAAGAGGCCAAGCTTTATAGCAGAGAAGCCCTGGGGCGGGCACTGGTCACCTGTTACTTAAGGTCAAATTCAAGTTCTCTGTTATGGACAATCTAGGCTGGGTTCTTAACAAGCAGGGGTTGGCTCAGCAAGCTCTGAAGTGCCCCTTGTATCTGCATTTGTAATGTGAATCCTTCAGTGAGACTCATCGTGCATACTAGCAGAGTTACAGGAGACTGATTTGTATGAGCCTCTGAAAGATGTTTAGCAAGTTCAGTTTACTTTTTAGTGTCTTTCCCAACAATCTATGTGCTTCATTTAGTCTGTTGTAAAGGGATAAAGTAGAAATCCTTTGGTTTTTCCATCTAGAGTCGAGATTTTGCTAATTTTTTAAAATCTACATTATAACCTGATGAATGACAATGAGGAGAATCCAGAATCTGGCATAGAACTTCAGAGAGCAAATTATTTGAAACCCCTTCAAGTATTCTTCTTGCAGTCCAGTTCAGCTACCTTGTATTGAGCACTTGCTATGTACCAGGCAATTCATCATCTGCTTCAATGCTGAAACTTCCGTTCATTATCAGTGTTAAGGCGTGGAAGCAGAAGATACAAAAATGACCAGGCCTTTCTCAAGCTATCCAATACAAATTCTGGTTCTGCAACTTCATAGTGTGATCTTGGACACATCTCTTAAACATTCTGAGCCTTCATTTCGTCATCTACAAAATGGGACTAATGATACATACCTTCAGGGTTGCTGACAAGATCTAAAATAAAACAAGTTGTCTAGCACACTGTTGTTAAGTGCCTTCAAGTCGGTTCTGACTCACAGCGACCCTGTATAGGGTTTCTAAGGAGCTACTGGTGGGTTTGAAATGCCAACCTTTTGGTTACCATTTCAATGCCACATCAGAATTCCTAGCACATAGAAACTACGAAAATGGTAGCCATTCATTCAGCCGTTGACAAAACTCAACAGATTGTGTCGGTCAAGAATTCATGCTTAGCTGTACTATGTGTGGGAAATGTGCTCGTATATTTCTTGTTCCCAAATAGGATTAACTGTGAAGATTAATTTATAAATGTGAATTCAAGCGCCAAAGGAAAAAGTTTGAATTTTGCTTCTGTCCTCAAATTAATCCAATAGTCTAAGGTGATGTCCACTGACTTGGTGACAGCTCAGCCCTCCAGACTCACCTGGCTGACTGAGAGCTAGCTCACTGACCAGGCCTCTGTGGGAATAAAGGATTTGGGACTAGGGCACTGCTCTGTTTCCCTGTGTGAACTCCGTTTTGTTATTAACACTGTGGGTTTTGAGACATGTTCTTCAGATTCAACCTGTGCTTTGTATTTTTCTCCATGTTTGAAATAAAATGGGCTAAGAGGGGTTAACTGATGTGAATAAGTCTGATTCATGGTTATCTTTTAAAACAGTTTTATACTCTTTGCATCCAAACTAGTGGAGCTTAAACGTAAAACTGAGCAGCATAATTTCTTGAGAAGTCTTTAAAACAATTTCCCAGACCTCAGACACTAAGTAGTCTTGGAATTTTTTTTAAAGCTCCCAGATATTTGAATATTCATCAGTCATATTGCTGCCCTAAATAATTCCACTATTCTTCCCACTGACTCCGGCAGTTGTAACAAGGAGGCTGCCTACTAGACTATGGGGCCAGGCCTTTTTCCTGTGTCCCCCAGCAATGTTCTCCCAGGGAAAGTCGAGTCCTTGTCTCTGCCTAGTACAAACTACTGAAAGTTGTTCCAGGTTCAGACAAATGCTTGGCAAATATTCTTCATACCTCTCATAAGCCCTATTGTGTTTCCTGTTGGCCGACTCCACCTCTGAACACAGGCGAACTTGCTTTCTCTACTTACCAACTTTCAGCACTTTGAGAACAATTCTGCCTGACTAACAGGACCCTCCGGAGACACAATTTCAACCACTGATTACAGGCCTGCATGTTTGTGAAATGACCATGTCTTATTACAAAACAGTAAACCCAAAAGTAGCACTAAACAAACTGGAGTTCATGCAAGTTCATGCCGCCGTGGACAATGCTGACAGTCTACCCCACCTTTGTTTCTTTTCACAACGGAGCTGAGAAATCAAACTTAGAGATTCCTTTCTTTCTGACTTGGCTGCTGTGGTAGAAAGCTGTGTGCTGCACTCAAAATACTGGGGCCACCTTGAACAAAAACAAATTAGTGTAAGGGTGGGTGTACATAATTCACCTGAAAAATTCCAAGTAGCCCAATCTGATGAGGCATGGCACCTCTGGGTTTAGGAGGGTTCCATCACTCTTACACCCACCACAACCCAGACTGGAACTCAGGGAGGAATTCACACCCTCAAAGAGGCCCAGGCTAATTGGGCCTTGGCACCCCCACCCCCCAATACACAGTCCCCAGGCCTCAGCATCTGATTTGGTTTTCTGTTTTTATTGAGTTTCATTCAGCAAACACTGGCCAAATGTCTTACGGGGAGGGGACCCTCTGATGCCCCCAGTTTTCTAGAATGATAGCCAGCCAGCCGTCTCAGGCACCACTCAAGAAGTGTCCATTGTTTGGACCGTCTCTTCCAGGACCTCAATTTCCAGGGCAGTGACTTTCTCGGTGAGGACGGCGGTAGTCCCCTTCTCACACCGGTACCTGCCAAACCTAGTGAAAGAAAAACAAAAGCACATTAGGATTTCTATTAAGTGCCTTGCAGACAGCAGGAGGAATTACAGGTATTCACAAGAGGCAGCAAGCAGGTCTGGCTGGAGCTGGGGCTCTCCTAATCCCCAGTGCGGTGACCACAGAGGAAGTCAAGGTTCACTTTCCCCCTCTTCTCTGATGTGCTACAAAATGGGGAACCTGGACAGGTACTGTGCATGTTAGAGAATGCAGAGAAAGCACTGGCACTGAAATTTCCTTCCTCACAATACTTCTCCAGCAGAGACCTGAAAGTATCTGGTCATTTGATTTAAGCTTCAGTTTCACTAAAGCATCTCAGTAAACCAGCAGGAAGTAAATCTCCTTTCATCGGAGTTTCTTGTGCAGCAACAAGAATGACACAATTAATAACTTAAAACACTTTTAAAATATCTAGAAGCATGAACAATATAAAACAATCCACATCCAAACCGGGTTTGTCACTTTAGACAGACTCAAGAGAACTGTCCTGCAGAGACAAGGTGGATCACCAGAAGGACACACCCAACACCTTTTCTTGGAACAAATCTGAGCACAAGGCATATTTAAGCTGTTCATTCTCCCAGTGGAACCAGTAATTGCAATACTGTCAAACAGAAGCAAAAGCCCAACTATCCCTAGCTGGGGCATTATCTGTCAACCTGACACACTGGGTAAGGACGAACAGAAGGCCCTTGGCCTGTGCCATGGCCATGTGCTCCTTGGAAGCCCACCCTTTCAAAAGGGCATGATGCAGAAAATGCAGGAGAGTTGCAGAGCCCTGTACCGAATTCAGAAACTTGGGCAGCAAAACATTTCTGCAAAACCTGTCATAGTCGTCCTCACCACATTCTACTCTTCAGGTTGTGTAACCATTCTCACCCTCCTCCTTCCAAAGTTGCTCCTCCCTCATTAACACCAACTCATCACCCCTTAAAGACTCTGATCTAATTTTTCAAGTTGCTGTTGTCAAGTTGATCCCATACAGATAGATCCTACAAGACCGTAATGCTCAAACCAGACTGTTTACTAGTCAAGCTGTAAACAGTTTTTAAGAAAACGCCAGGAAATATTTTGGTTTCAGCGTTTAAAATTATTACAGTGCAATAGTTTCAGGGGTTCATCCAATTTTCATGACCCAAGGAAGCGGGGATTCTATGAAATTTTGATCAGCATTTTCCCTCTTTTGATTAGTATCCTTTTATGTAATCTTAGATCTAAAAGTTTGGTTAACGGCAGCCTGCACCATCCAGTTCGGGTCTCATGACAAAGGAAGCAGTTGTTCATGAAGGCAACAAGCTACACATTCCACATCCTCCTCCTATTCTGATTCTCCTTCCTCCTCTGTTCCAGGAGAATTGTTGTGCCTTGGGTGGCTGTTTGCAAGCTTGAAGACCTCAGGCACCAAACATGTTATTAAACCAATTAACTGGGATACTTCATGAAATCATGACTCTAAACCTCTAGACCAAGATATCAAATCCCTTGGGGTGTTTGGTTGTACATAAGCAACCTTAGCCACTACTTGTGTGTGTGTGTGTGTGTGTGTGTGTGTGTGTGTGTGTGTGTTGTTGTCAAAATTATTACCATTGGCTTTTGCCAATTCAACTTTTTACCGACATACAATTTACTAGACAATAATTAAAACTGGCGCTACAGCTCTACCCCTAATAAATGCAATTATTTCCATCACCATTCACCACTCCCTCCCCACCCCTTTGGTAACCACTAATAAACTTTGTTCTCTAAACATTTGCTTTTTTTTATATAAGTGAGACCATATATTTGATCTTTTGTGATTTGCTTATTTTACTCAGCATAATGCCTTCCAACTCCATCCATATTGCAGCATGTATGAAGACGTCATTTCTCCTACTGGTTAAGTTAATATTCCATTGTACCTTTATAATCTGTTGATGGGCATTTAGGCTGTTTCCACCTTTTGGCTATTGTGAATGGTGCTGCTATAGATATTGGTATGCAAACTTCTGTCTGAGTCTCTGCCTGTCACATTTCATCTAAGAGTGGAATTGTTGGGTCGTTTTGCAGTCCCAGCAATGGTTCCATTTCCTCACAACTTTGCCAACATTTATTATTTTCCGTGGTTTTTTCAAAAAAGTTTTATTTTAGTCATCCTCACCTCCTCACCAGCGAGAAGGCTTATACATTAAGCAACAATGGATTGCAAAATAGGGCTGCAGAGAATGGAGACCCAAGGGAAGCAACAGGAATTTTCACAGGTCTACACTGGGGTCAAGGAGCTCTGGTAGTGTAGTGGTTACAAATCGGGCTGCTAACCTCAGGGTCAGCAGTTTGAAACGACCAGCTGTTCTGCAGGAGAAAGATGAGGCTTTCTGCTCCTGTAAAGATTTACAACCTTGGAAACCCTGTTCAGGGTTGCTGAGTGGGAACCAACTCCATGGCACATAATAACAACAACAACACTGGTGTCAGACACAGGATGCCTGCCCATGTCTAAGGCTCTGCCCCTCACTTTAACTGGCCACTCTGAGGAAGAGCCCAACCAACCCAGGCAGTGTCCCAGTCAACCACTGGCAGAAAAGATGACAGTAATATCCGAGACAGTGTGGACACTGTTGACACAGTGATGTACTGGGGAGTAGGGGCAGTTTGGTCTACTTAAGTTACTACTTAACTACTCATCGACCTTTCATGTCACCTTACTGAATCTTCACAATTGGTCCATGGAGTCTGTTTTTGTTCTTGGGTGTTTAGAACCTCCTTTCCCTGCTGCACTCCCTTTTGGACAAGGACTCCAGTGTTGAACACTGGTTCCTTATACAAGCAAATATACTACTTTTCAACAACTCCAATGTGGTTTCCAGAATTCTCACCCAGGATACTGGGTTGAGTCTGAATACAGTGATCAGACCATAACCACTTCCCACTCTACTCCAACCACCATCTCTTCATCATGCAGTACACCTTGGAAGTTACTGCTCAAGCAGGCCATGCAGGGGTACTTGGCTTAGGTCTTCAAGGAGCTCAGCAGATCCTACTCCAAACTGAGTTCTGAGCCTCAATAACTGCTCCTTTCCCTGCTAAAGACCTGAGGGACTGCATGGAACTATTAATGACCACCTAGTCCAGCTCTATCAGCTCAACAGCAGAGAGACTGACTTGCTCTAAATCACTAAAGCTAGCTGCCGACATTTCCCCCACCACTGAGTCATAGCTCTCTGTGGCTGGGGTGCTCTAGCACATGAGAACACAGTTTTCACAATTTTTAGTGGAAGTGACAATGAAAATACCTGCTGGTTTTGAAGAATGTTGTTGGAATCTGGACTGGAATTGCATTGTATGTGTAAATTGCTTTGGGGAGTATTGACATTTTCACGATGTTGAGTCTTCCCATCCAGGAACATGGTATGTTCCTCCACTTCTGTAGGGCTCTTTTGGTTTCTTGTAGTAGTGTTTTGGAATTTTCTTTGTATAAGTCCTTTGTTTCTCTGGTTACGTTTATTCCTAAATATTTCATCCTTTGGGTGGCTATTGTAAATGGTATTGCTTTCCTAATGTCCTTTTCATCGCTATCACAACAATGGATTGCTATAGAGAAATCCAACTGATATTTTTAATGTTGATCTTACATCCTGCCACTTTGCTGAATCTTCCAATGAGGCCTGCTGGTTTTGAATGCTCTAGTCTTTCCTTGTGAATTACTTCTGTTTTGGAATGTGAGTACATGCAGAAGGGTTAAAGCAAGCATTCCAGAAGGTGATGTGTTTGCTATTCCCTAACCTAGCTGTGGGGCTGAATGGAAGGTAGTACCAGTTTTAAGTCCTGTTGTGCTACGTAAGCCCTCTCAGTTGACCTCTCAGTCAAGCACCTGGACAACCATGAGGAATTTTCAATGAGCTGCTCATGTACAAAATCACCAGTCATCAAGTTTGAAACCTTCTAGTTCTGTTCAGTAAATCAACTCAATCCATACCCTACTGCTCTTCCCCTGGGTTACACCTGAGACGTGTGGTGTCTGTTTAGCTGCTACAGACTAAATGGCAAGAATCCCCCTAGAGCAGGAAAACTCCAGAAATGCTCCCAAGCCTAACTTTTGGAAATGACCAAACAATAGTTTACAACCTTTTGGGAGTCATGGACCACTCATTTTATAAACAAATAACAACCCACACCTGACAGCAGCCCGCAATCATAAAGCAAACAATGACTCAGAGGTCTGTTGTATATGGCTGGTCTGGGGTACTCAGTATAAGAAAGAATCAAAAAAACCCTGTCCAGATGCCATGGAGATGTCAAGGTCATGGAAGGCATGGGACACAGGGCAGAATGTAATCTTCTTCACTTACCTGCTGCCCTTCTTATTGGGCACTGAGAATGGGCGGAGAAAATCCAACTTGCTCTTGCTGATGACACAGAGATCAATGTTGCTTCCAGACCCCAGGTCATTAAAGATGCCCGCTGCAATGGCTTCACTCACCAGCTTCTTGGCTTCCTCCTCCTGAAGAAAGAATGGCAACAGTAGCATCCACAGGCAGACTCTGCATTTCACAGGCAGTGCTCAAAATCATCTGTGAGGTAGGCATTTTTCTAGTGCCCATTTCACAGATGAAGTACCTGAATGATTTATCCAAGGTATCTCAACTGCTAAGCGGGGGAGTTGGGCCTTCCCACTCCATTATGCATGTGTCTCCTCTTTACCACACTACTGTAAGGTTTTGGACTGAGAGAGACAACCTACCATCTAAACCAGAGCGCAGCAAACTTGGCTTTGTAAAGAGCCAGACAGAATATACTGTAGGCTTGGTAAGCATGTAGTTTCTGTCACAACTACTCAATTCTGTCGTTGCAGCATGAAAACAGCTATAAAGAATATATAAACAACTGGGCATAATTCTACTCCTATAAAATTTTATTAACAAAAACAGGTGACATGTCAGATTTGGATGTCAGATTCCCTGCCTAAAATTACAGCCTTGAGATGACAAGCTGTGGCTTGCTGACCTCTGACCTAAGATGTCAAGCAGAAACTTGCTTCCTGGTCTTGTAAAGGAACAAATAATTTATCATGTGGAGAAAACACTAACATAAAAACACACAAAAAAAGGTTGGCTGAGGTTAAGGATAAGACCCCTTGCCCAAGTGAGGTCTACTCCCACTAATGAGCCTACAAGTTCACTGAAGTGATTCATTTGAGTCACTCTCTCCACTGTTCCACTTTAGGAAGCAAGTCTAAGTTCCCAAAAATTACCAGTAAACAAGTGGATTAATTCATCTCGCATCCCTGAAGGCCCAGTGCTAGGAGCTGGGGCTGCAGAGATGGGTAGGGGCCCAAGGTCCGTGTCAGTGGGGGACACTGTACCCAAGTAACTGTAATGCCTCATGCTGTTAAGTCAGTTCCAACTCATAGGGTTTCTGAGGAGCGGTTGGTGAGCTTGAACCGCCAACCTTGCGGTTCAAAACAACCTTTAAGTCCAGCGCATTAACCTGTAGTGCCACCACACCAAGACTCCACAATGCAATATAATAAAGGCCAATGGAAAATCGGCAAGGCACACTGGCTGGGTCAGCAAAGGCTTGAGGTGATGACCAGGCACATCCAGCATCTCAGAAACCAAGATACTGAAACAGGGCATCAGGGCCAGGGAACAACATCAAACCAAAGCTCTTTATGCAATAAGAACAAAATTAAACCAACCACCCCAAAAAGAACCAAAAGATCCGCTTTGGAAGAAGTGCAGCGAGCCAGAGTACTCCTTGGAGGCCAGGATGGCCAAACTTCGTCTCTCAAACTTCGGACATATTGTCAGGAGGGGCCAGTCACTGGAGAAGGAGATCATGTTTGGTAAGGTGGAGGGTCAGAGAAAGAGGAAGACCCCCCAATGAGATGGAATGGCCAAGTGGCAACATCAATGGACTCAAGCATGGCAGCAGTAGTGAGGTTGGCCCAGGATCGGGCAGTGTTTCATTCTACTGTGCATAAGGTCGCTATGGGTCGGTACCGACTTGATGGCACCTAACAACAACCCAAAAAAGGGAATCCAATCTGTTTTGCAGCCCGTTCCTAATCCACCAGGCAGGAGAGTCTACAAACTATCCTAGCTAAACTGAGGAGTTCATTTAAGTAAAATTCTTTAAGAAACAGATCCCCTGCCTAAAATAACAGCTTTGAGATCCTCTCTAAAGGTGGGTTCACTGACTTCAAGCTGAAGATCTGAAAGACCACTCAGGGCTCCTGCATTGCCCAAGACAATAAGTGATATTCCACTGACTTGAGCACCCTCTACAGACTCAGAGACAGACTGAGAAGGCTTGGCTGGAAATGGGATCTCAACAAGCTACCAGCAGGGGGTTAAGGGGATTATTCTGATCTTTATTCCTTCATTCTTCCACTTCCTGTGTGGCACCTGTGGGACCAATGAAGGCACATGGTACATATACAGTCCTGTAAGGATGATTTCAAACAGGAATTTCAGTCAGGATTCTCTCCTGGATTTCCAAAATTCTATGAGGCTAGTCAAAAGTCTTTTACCAGAAACCAGTGAAGGTGGTAGCAAAGAAAAGTAGTTTAGAGCACAGAAAAAAAAATCATTGTCCCTGCAACTACCAGAGCGTTGTTAAATGCCATCAAGTTGCTTCTAATTCACAGCAACCCTGTATAGGGCTTCTGAGTAATGGCTGGTGAGCTTGAACCACAGACCTTGAAGATCAAACGGTCTTTGCAATCCAGCACATTAACCCACAGCGCTCCACCAGGACTACAGATACAGAGTTGTTGTGATTGTGCTTAAGTGCCGTCGAGTAGGTCCTGGCCCATAGCAACCGTTTCTGAGGAGCACTTGGTGAGCTTGAACTGCCGACCCTGTGGTTCAAACCGGCTCTGCAGTCCAGCGCATTAACCCACAGCACAACACCAAGACTCCAGAAAAAGTTGTGGTTGTTAAAGTACTGTCGAGTTGATTCCGACCCATAGCAACCTTGTATAGGGTTTTCAAGGAGCGACTGGTGAGCTTGAACCACCAACCTTGCTATTCAAACGACTTTGCAGTCTGGAAGCATTAACTCACAGTGCCATACTAGTACTTCCCATAAAGAGTACACACTACAAAAAACAATCGCTTAACAATACACCCTCATTCCAACTTAATTCTTTGAAAATGGTCAACAGACTTTTTAATGGTAACATTTTTAAAAAGCAAAGTCTTAGAAATTTAGACTTTACTAATGAACTGAGGTATGCATGCTTGCATATGTACATGCACATGTACGGGACACCCTGCACAGCCCTGTCCTGACCTGCCATCTCCTCTTCCCCTTCTCTGTTGTTTTATTATTTCGTCTACTTTGTCTTTTCTCATTATTGCTGGTGATACCTTTAGCCAGCCAATGATACCTTGTGGATATCACATTTCTGATGGTAGCAGTAAGGACTGCAGATTTAAATTTCCCAAATGATTTTTTTCTTGGGGAGCAGGGGATGGGGAAGATACAGACAAAACTGAAATACGCACATGCAGGTCTAACATCAATCAATTAAGATTGGGCACAAATTTCAGAATGCTGACAGGGCTATGAGATTTTGGGGTGATTCTTCATTTTGCAAATATTCAGTAAGGAGTAAGATAACTTACAAAACTTTTAAAAATGCGAAAAATTTGACATGTATTACATATTGCTTGATTTAGTCATAATTATGCTTGCTATTATTTAAATGTAAAGGCTTTTAAAAATATACCTTTTAAGTTCCTTTCCTTCCCACCAGTTCTAAGGGAAAGAAATCCTTAAGAAAAAATCTCTTACATGCCCACTCCCTTCCATCTCTCATATACACAAGGCAGAAGATGCTATAAGATGACATTAATCTTACACATACTGAACACCTACCATGTGCCAAATACCAAGGTAAGTACTTTGACAATCATCATCATTTCTTATTTATCCCCACACAACCATCTTGTGACAGACATTGGTATTGCCAGACTAGGGCTGAAAAAGATCCAGTGACTCACCCAAGATCTAAAGCATACAGATGTGTGTTAAATCGATTCATAGTGACCTTTTAACCTTGTGGTTAGCAGTCCAGTGCTTATCCTATAATGTTACACCAGGCATACGATGTTGTAAAGTGCCATCGAGTCGGTTCCGTCCCATAGCAACCCTGTATAGGGTTTCCAAGGAGATTCTGGTGAGCTTGAACTGCCGAACCTTTTGCAGTTCAAACGGCTTTGCAGTCTGATGCATTAACCCACAACGCCACACCAGGACTCCAGGCATACAAGAGGGAACAGCTATTCAAACCCAAGGGAGTCCTGGTGTGGCGCTGTGGGTTAATGCGCTGAATTGCAAGGTCATTCAAACAGTAAGGTTGGAGGTTCAAACTCACCAGCCACTCCTTGGGAACCCTATACAGGGTCGCCATGAGTCAGAACCTACTTGGTGGCACTTAACAACAACATTCAAACCCAGGAATCCCGGTGTGATGCTGTGGGTTAATGCACTAGACTGCACAGTCAGTTTGAACCTCAAGATCAGTGGTTCAAGCTTACCAGCCACTCCTTGGAAACCTCATACAGGGCTGCTGTGAGTCGGAACTGACTCGATGGTGCTTAACAATAACAATTCAAAACCCAGGTTCTTAGGGCTGCAGAGCCAGAACATAACATGCCACCCTAATTGACTAAGCAGCCTGACCCACCCTGGGTAGGGGGCTCTGCAGCTGGTTGCAGACAAGAAACTCCCTGAGTCATCAGGGTTGTCAATCCCCCATCACCAGGATGCTCAAAACTGGGCAAACCAGGATAGGGTGATTTGACAATTCTCTTTTGGTCAAATAGCAGCATCTCTGTAGGTCATTTCCATTGAGAGGGGGTTGGAGTGTTCAGTTCCCAAACTGCCTACAGACCACTATCAGGTTACAATAATATTTTTACAAAATTACAATTATGTCAAAGATCAGTATTAAGACCTAAGGTATTTTTTCACATATCCTACAAAACAACAAACAAAAACAGACTACCAAAACATGAACAGGGTGAAAAGGATCAAAGCTGTAATGTTTACCCATTACTTATCTAGTTAATGTCTTCAACAGTTATTTACAGAGACCTACTATGGAGTCCTGGTGTGGCGCTGTGGGTTAATGCATCAGACTGCAAAGCCGTTTGAACTGCAAGGTTGGTGATTCAAGCTCACCAGCTGCTGCTCGGAAACCCTATACAGGGTCGCTATGGGTCTGAACCGACTAGATGGCACTTAACAACAACAACAATGTCCCAGTGTGGCGCTGTGGGTTAATGCGCCAGACTGCAAAATCATATGAACTGCAAGGTCAGCGGTTCAAGTTCACCAGCCACTCCTCAGAAACCCTATATAGCGTCGCTATGGGTCAGAACTGACTTGATGGCACTTAACAACTACAACAATTATGTCCCAGGAACTGCTTCATATGTCGAATACTGTTTTTGACTACAGTATTTTCATACCCATGATTCTAGATGCATA